ATAAAACGGGTATTTCGTCAGTGCGCTTATAGTAAAAATCTCGCCCGGGAACTGATCACTCCCGGTTATTGTTTTTAAATCTTGAGATTTCGCTAGAATCGCATTCGATCGAATTTGGCCGTTATTTAGACCCTGACCTTGGCAGTCGATTTTCGAGAGTTTCGGGACGAAATAAATTGGACGGTGTCGATATTATTGTGGCCAGCGTCGAGGTGATTAGGAATAGTGAGAAAGTGGAATTTTGGACCAGGTGCGAATTTGGACTGGTAGACCTCCCTCGTAGTGAGTCTTGAGTTATTTTATTTCGGCCCGTTGTCTTATATTATTGTTTGGGATTTTTCGGGGACAGTTAGATCTTTTCCGGGTTTGAATCGCGACAGTTAGAATAATATTTAGTTTGAACCGTGTCCGTTGGTTCGCGCTCGAGGATAAATATTAACTTTGTTCTCTCTTACTCTCTCTCCTCTCTCCTCTGACATGCCCACGCCGCGCACGCTCTCTCTCTCTCCTCATTGCGTCTACCGTCCCTCTTCTCTTTCTCTCTCCCTCCTTCTCTCTCCTTCTTTCTCCCTCTCTTTTCCCCCTCTGGCCGCGCACGTCTTCCCCAGGCAGACGTCCCCTCAGCCCACGCCCATGCAGACCCACCCCCTGACACACACACACACACTCTCTCTCTCTCTCTCTCTCTCTCTCTCCTCTTTCCTTCTTTTCCTTTTCTTTCTTCTTCTTCTTCTTCTTCTTCTTCTTCTTCTTCTCCTTCTTCCTTCGCCCGACTAGTCCTGCTCGTGCGTCTGCTCGCCCGACCGAACACCGCACGACCGCCCCTCCGCCTCTGCTAGACGCCATCCCACTAGCCACCGACTCTGCCGTCCTCCTCGCGCCACCGTGTCGCCCGGGAACGCCGCCTCGACGCTGCCTCTTTCCCCTCCCGAGCACGCGAGCTCAGCTCGTCACCACGCCTGTCGCGGCCCGGCGTTGCCCAGCCGGCTCGTCCCGTTCCGTTCCGCCGCTTGTGACGTCGCCAGCCAGCTCGGCCGCCGTCGCGCCGTCCGTCAGCCGCCGCCCCGACCGGCTGTTCTCTCCCCCTCCTCCGCGCGAGCTGCAGCTCGTCGCTGCGTCTGCTGCGACCGAAACCCGCCAGCCGCCGGCCAGCTAGCCCGGTCAACTCCTCAGCGCCGTCCCGACGCCTGAGCGTCCTCGACACCGCCGCCGAGCGCCTCCCCAACCGCACCACCCGCCTCAGCCAACTTCCTCTCCTTCCTTTAACTTTCCGCCGTTCGCCGCTGCTGCCGTCGTCAGCTCGCCGCCCGCCGGTTCGACCAGCGTGCCCGTCGCCGCCACGAGGTCGCCGTGCCGCCCCGTCACCGCCGGTTCGCCCCTCTCCCTCAGTCCCGACCTCTTTCTCTCTTTTTCTCTCTCTCTCCCTCACCCTCACCCCGGCTGACTTCTCCCCCTTCAGCTCGCCGCCGCCGCGTCGCCGTCGCCGCCGCCGCCGGTCGCCGCCCCGGCCAGCCAGCCCCGGCCAGCCAACCCAGGCCGTAGCCGGCTCGTCGCCCACGCGACCAAGCCGTGCGCCCGTCGCCGTGCCCGTGCCCGTGCCCGTTGCCTGCGCCCGTGCCCGTTCCCGCGCCCGTGCCCGCGCTCGTGCCCATGCGTGTGCCCGTGGCCGAGCCCGTGGCCGAGGGCTGTGCCCATGGCCGAGCACCGTGGCCGAGTCCCGCGCCCGTCGCGCCCTTGCCCGCGCCGAGTGAGACACTGTTCACTCGGGCCATTTTAGGCCCGAGCCGACTTTTACCAAGCCAAACTTAAGTAAGTGACATTCTAATCCCTATTTAGTACAATGGGTATTATTAGACTTGTTTAGAGATTAATTAGAATTAATTCAATGACTAAGTTAGAAAATGAATTAGTTGGTTAGAATATGATTAGTACTTGAATTAGGTGATAAGTGGTGGATTAAATTGTGATGATTGCGTGGCAAATTGTGACGTGCTAAATATCTGTATTGTCTTGGCGTGTGTGGGAAAGTTGACGCGTGATTGTGGCCGGCTTGAATGTCGGAATCGTGAGCTTGTGAATTGGAATTGGGATGATTGTTGGTGTATGTTTGTGGCTATTGTTGGTGGGTCAATGATTGGCTTATCGTGGCATTTGTGAGTGGAATTGATAGCTGAATGTGACCGACTTGAAAGTCGAGTTGGTGGAATATTGTGGTGAGCATGCCTTGAGTTTGATTGGTATGACTTGTGAGAATGGCGAATTGTGTTGTGGTGCATGTGCATGAGAAAAGCCCGGATTGATCGGAGGGCTGCCAACCTGAGGCGTGGTTACGCGGGTGTGGCGAGAAAGGCATGACCAGACCTGAGGCGTAGGTTACGCGGGTCATTGGAAGGGGAAAAATGTCCTGAGGCGTGGTTACGCGGGACCGAGTCCCGCTTGATCTAAGGGTTGAGCCTGAGGCGCAGTAGCGCGGGCTGTGAGATTGGGCCTGAGGCGCAGTGACGCGGGCAGTGTGAAAGGACCTGGGAGGTCGTGGAAAGTTGTTCGACCACGCATGCGAATTGTGTGTGATTGAATTGATTGAACTGATTGGACTGGCTAATTGAATGTGTGATTGAATTGGTGGGATTGATTGAGTGCCAGTGTGGTTGGCGTTTGATTGATCGTGATATGTTATTGAGTTAGTATTATTGTCTTGTCGCGATTTGACTAACGTGCAGAGTTTACATGGGTTCGATGGTGAGGTAAGTATAAGGATGCGATTTTATTTTATATGTTATGGGGTAGATTGCATGTACGACTTGTCTGGGTACGCATTGGCCTACGTGGGGTTTAGGGTGTTGCTTATTGAGACTCGTTCTCACGGTTATTATATAACCATTTCAGATTCGCAACCGTGGGTGATTGGAGACACTGCAAGGATATCTCGGAGATCGAGGACGGGTCAAGTATATTGTATTTTGAGTCCCCCTTTGTAGAGGAGTTAAGTTTGTAAACCTTTGTCCCTTTTGAGGAATGTGGTTCTGTTGTTGTAGCCTAACTTAGGAATTGTCTTTTTGTAAACGTCGTATGTATCTGCCAAGTGTAAGAATTACAGTTATTGTTTTGTGCTATTGTTACCCCTTGTCATTATTAATTGTCCGGGTTGTTTCTATTTGTTTCCGCACGTGCCTAATCTCTGATGTTTGGGTTGGGTCGGCGACGTGTCTAGGACGTCGCATTCAATGATCGACCATCGCGGGATGATCGCGCGCTCGTAGGGTGCGGGGCGTGACACCTAGAAAATTAAAAATCAGCTTTAAATTACAGCATAACGAGAGGTCGACGGTGCATTTCTTTTGTCGCCAGCGACGGACCCACCCACAGCCGCAAGGTAATTTGTGGAATATCGGATGACTTGCTCATTAAGTTTTGAAAAATCAAAAAAAGCGAGTGGCAATTTGGAGGAAGAAAAGTCTATTATTGTATGGGTGGACCCTCTCGAGTCCATCCACGATGCGCCTTAATAAAATTAACACATGCATAAATACTTTTAACTCCATCACTCTCAAAGGATGTACAGAAATCATGATGTTTACATTATACGTTAGGTATCACTCTAGCTACATAGTAATATTTAGAGCTTGCTTACGGTGATTTTTACTTTTTCTTTTTTCGCACATCTTGATGGGCATCTGTTTTGACTTTTTGTTAATCTTAAACGCCGAAAATTTTCATAATAGATGAACATTGACGCGAATATTCATATAGAATTTTTTTTCGTAATCTTTCGAAATTTGAATAATGTTTTAGATTTAACAGGAAAGTACAAAAGTTACTTTTAACTTCTGATTAGTCTAGATAAACAATCAGGGTTCATATTAACATATTTGTTGATTAATATAATTTCAATTAAATATAAAGTGCATCACAAAATCAAAGAGAAAATCAATCACCTCACCGGTAAATGTTACTTTCGACAGCTTAACAAAAGACCCGATGGTGTCGGTTTTCCCAAAATCTATTGCATGGACAGATGGTTCAAATTATTAGGAAATCTCAGTACAGGATGGTTGCATAATCAGGGAGGATCGTAAACATCATCATCATATATTCTACTCTGGCTAGTAATACAATACGTGGTTCGTGTTCGGGCAAGCCATCGAAGCAAGCCACAGAACACATAACTACATCAGCCGGAAACTATCTCCGTTCAGTAATTCATCTTTGAACTCTCGATGAACATGAATGGAATTACCCGAACTATCTCCGTTCAGTAATGCAAGAGACGGTAGGTTGGGATGATATGTGCTTTACAGGGTGCACTAATACAATAATAGCCTGGCAATGTTGACCAGGCTTGTACTGTCCCTGAGGGCTCGAAACAAGGACTCCTCCATGGAATCAAGATGCTGGTTATCCATGGCAGCAATTTGAGCTCCATGCTCTGCTCCGTGTCTTGAAATTATATTCGGCAAAATACTTGTTAGACAACCCCATTTCAGAAAATTTGAAATAATAAGTATCGCCTTCGGACATTTGTGTTTGATATTTTTTGATTAACAAAATTTAAAAAAGAAAAAGAAAAGAAAAGTCCATGTACGGCATCCTAAAAGAATTTGGACAATTCCTTTTGCTAAAAAAAAAGGAATTTGGACAATTCAAGTCAACAGAGTCCATGGCTTACTTTCCTTTTTTATTTACCCTGACCGACTCCAGTAGCTAGAAGGCAATTGCCTTACGTTTTTCGCTTTCGCAATCGGCAGTTCGGGCCGGGTTTTATTTGACTGGCTCAAATTTGATACATATTTTAACACAATCTATGCAGAGTACATATTGTTTATGAACAAAGCACCATTTACAGAATCAAAAACTGACAGTGCACGTGATCGGACATGGGAGTCGTTCTTTTCCGGGAAAGGAATTCAGGACTGCATGAATTTACTCGCAGTCCCCCAACTTACCGGAGGAGGCTGGACTACAGCAGTGAAGAGATGTTGCGGTTCTCAGTCGATGCTTACCTCCGACCATCATGACCAGCTAGATTGTTGTTTGCCAATTAGTCTCCAAGCTTTGAGTGAATTACTCTCTTCCTTCGTTGCCGAAATACAACGTGCTCCGAGGCTGCGAGTTGAGCAAACACATCTGTAAGATCCATGAGAACGCCAAGAAACGTCGGGTGCGCATGCGTCCACGACGCACAACTCGCTTCCGGGAAATAGCGAAAAGAAAGAGAACATCGCGAGTGTTCTCTCTTCCTCTCTGTCTTCTTTCGCAGGACTTGCGATTCGTAGCTAATGACTGGATGCATCGTCGGAGGATTATAGCCTTACATGTGCATTCTAGGTGGGACTTTATGGTGGAACCCATATGTGCTTTATATGGTGGCAAGGTTTTAGCCTGATTTCACGGTGGGTGCTCTAATGTAATAATGGACAATTGATCGGGATTTAATTGATTCTGTTTTATTATCTTCAATTATTTATAATAAAAAAAACGAACGAAATTGGGACAAGCGTGTCGAATTCTAAGCATGACTCAAATGCAAGACCAAAAAATACAAAATATAACATGAGTTATCATGTTCAAGGATAGTAAGAATACATTTTTGGTTGGGCCAAATGTCAAATAACAAGAAAAACAAACTAAAATTTCTTAGGAGAATACAAAATAACTAAGCAAAAAAAGGGAAGCCACGCCATTGACGATTCTGTGCTTGAGGCATTTACTTTTTTCAATAGAGATTTGTTGCCAAATATTGAGGCTTCATTTATTTCGTGGAAGTCTTAAAACTTGTTACAAAAGTGTAATCAAGTTCCAACACTTGTCAAATTGGTATGATAAAGTCACTTTGTTAACTCCGTCTAACATGACTAATGAAAACTACTGACATAGCTTTTTATTTTTATTTTCTCTCTCCTACATAGCGATGATGTGGCAAAAGCACGAAGTATAAGGCTAAAACGACATCATTTTATCCAAATATGATTTTTTTAATCCAAATTTTATTTAAATTAAATTAAAATAAGCTACTAAAAAAAGGAGGGTAGAAAAACCTACCCCCACACCACCATTGCCAGTTGGGGATGGCAGGCCCTTACTTGCAATCGACGAGGGTCGTCGTCCACTAGTCGAGGCCCGGCAACTCCCAATGGGCATCGCCCCACCATTGCCAGCCTTTCCCAGCTATGGTGGGACAGTAGCGACCCTTGTTTACTTTTTCCCTTTTTTGTGTGTTTTTTTTTTAAGTTAGCTTATTTTTAATACAATTTTTAAATAATTGATTAAAAAAATCAAATTTTGACCAAAACGACCTCATTTTAGCCACGTCAGTGCTACGTAGGATAGAGAAAACAATTTTATAAAAAACCACATTAACATTTTCCGTTAGCCAAGTTGGACGGAGTTAACGGAATGACTTTATTGCATCAATTTGACAAGTTTTAGGACTCAATTGTATTTTCGTGATAAGTTTTAGGATTATCACTTCACTTATCCAAAATAGAAAACTAGTCACATGACTTGCAAGTTTACTATTAATTAATGAATTAATGTTTTACATCGAATAAAAAATGAATAGTGATGTTTGAGAAAAGAAAACATAAAAGTATAGGAAAATATACCAGGGGAAAATTAAAAAATGACCTATACCATTGCCACTATTCCATTTTGGTGTCTTACCTTATCTTGTGACAAATTGGGTCCATAAACTAATCACTGGTTATCATTTCAAGGCAAAAAATATGTAACCGTTTATGAACGGAATATACTAAGTCACTAAGCGCTAGAGATATACAAGCAACGCTAATGTGAAAATAATTATTCAAAAGAAATTACAAAATGGTTCCTATATTATTGTTGATGTTTAATTTTGGTCCTCATACTTTATTTTACCATAGATTCAGTCCTTAACCTGACTTGTGATGCCGATTTCGAATATTTTCTTCCAAATGCAGACAGAAATTGCCGAGTAAGTGTCACTACCAAATCAATATGCTAGTTCACACAACTTGAAGAAGCTATCTTTTCAAGACAATCCACATCTAGAGAAACTTGCACATGTGGTTCTAGTTAGGCTTTCCTCATATATCTTGTAATATCACTTCTGCTCGTGCACTATAGCGTATTTGTTATAACAATTGCCCATTTATTGTGGAATAATCATTTTAGGAAGTACAATTTAGCTTGGAGTTGCAATGCTTGCAAATTCTCGAAAGTAGCATTTAAGTGGTGATCAATTGCTAATTAGATAGACTTGCTGCTAGGACATCAGTTCCAAAGACACTAAAACAACCTTACCTGGTCATGGTTCCTCAAGAGTCAGCCACGTGTCAATTTTCGTTGGTTGTCTGCCCCCATGAATGTATGTATATTCAAAGATAACCAAATATAGAACAACCAAACTGTGGGGCCGGCGTTTAATTATCTTTAATTATCCTTTAACTTTTCTAATCCTGTATTTTGTTTTTATTATTTCAATTACATGAATGATTATGATATGTATACCTATAGTTAATTAGACTGTTGCATTTTGCACATGTAATTAGTATTTGGCAATAAATCTATACTGAAAAAGTATCGTTATACTATGGCGCCGTTATTTTATCTTTCATGTATTGATACTCTATTGTACCCTTGGTATATAGTAAAATAGTTGCAAATAATCATCAAATTCCTCGTTCTTCCCGAATGCGTTTTCATGATTACGAATATTATTATACATAATTTTTTATAAATGTACTTCGTGATAATTAATGAAGCAATCGAACCTTCCTTAAAATTAACTACCTGTGATTTATTTGACGTGTCAAACTACATGACAAAGTTATTTTTCTGCAACGTCCCCACTAGTTTTGCACTATTATAGCACCTTGATGCCACATTTTTATCTTTAGCTCTTAGCTCTTCCTTTTTGTTTGCATTTGGACCAAAAAAAACGTACGACGTTCTTAGAATCAGGATTGAACATTGGTCCACCGACCAATTACGCAACAAAAATAAAGTACCGAGAATCAAAAGTGAACGTGAGTATTAGTAGATGGACCATTTATGACATTTACTCTCGAATTTTAAGTTGTGATTTACGCATCAATGCCGCATGCTCATTCCAGTGTTTACTGAGCACTTTCTGTCATCATTTGGAGGAAAAACACGCAATTGGTCCTGAATACGTGACGTGGGATTAGTTTAGGGACCAAATCCCGTCGCAAAATAAAGTACAAGGATGAAAAACAATAGTGAACGTCCGAGGCAGCATCGGTAAGGAGCAACCAATTATCAACCGTTGATTCACATAAACGATGCATGTATTGACGATCGAGATATGTTGAGACACTCACGACCCGTGGATGCATCTTACGGGACGAAGATATCACGTCCAAAATAAAAATAAGAAAAGATCGAGGACGACCGATAATAAATCTTAAATGGATATATGGTCGGGCCTCGCTCAAAGCTTAAATCCCACTCTCCCCTGAACATAAAAAAGATCATCGCTGAGGACTTGGGCAACTTCCTTCCCCCTGAATCTCTTCATGCATCAAGCCCATCTCCCAGGAAATCCCTGACTCCCCAGCCCTTTTCTTGTATATAGAAATAAAAAACGAAAATAGTCATCGACAATCTGTCTATATATGTCTATACTTATCCTAAACCAAAATTACTCTACCCTCGCTTTCCTGGGATTCTCCGTTTTGACTCTTGTGTGCTTTCCTGGGGGACCACAATTGGAAAATTTTACCCAGTAACCCAATTCGTTCGGCATACTTCATTAATATTACACAGAATGGGTTGGGTTAATGTTCTTTCGCCTCGTGACCCCGATGTGACCCGACCTCGATGTGACCCTTTTTGCCTCATGAGCCCGATGTGACCCCGCAATTCCACATCGACAACGTCAAATTACCCATTAACACCCAAACCATCCTGTGTTATTTTCTCAAGTTGGTTAATGTGCATCTTTCCCGTTGTGTTTCTATTTCTCCCTGGCCGGAAGGCTATAGGTTCGGTAGCCCAGACTCCGTCAGTAAGTTGGAGGATTGCGAGTAAAATCATGATATTCTTGCCGGTTCTCATCTCTGATCATGTCCACTGCATGTATTCCACAACAGGAATGCTGTTTTATCTGGAAAAAAACCTGCACTCTACGTAAATCCGGTGAACTTTGTACCGCCCAACTTTTTTCCCATATTCTTTTTATCTTTTTGTTATTGATCCAGGGCTTTTGTTCCCGATTTTCAGACTCTCAAAATAGAGCATGTACTTAAGGGCACATTTAGCAGATGTAAAATGGCTCATTTTTTGCATTTCCTGTATTGGGCTAGTTACGTTGTACCGCCTAGATTTTGTCTTCTATTCTTTTGCTAAACGATCCAGGTTTTTGTTCTCAACGTTCATGATAACTTGATTCTCAGAAACAGAGCATGTTGGGTCATATTCATGAGGGAGCATATTCAGTGGAGTAAAATTATACTCATTGACATTTTTTGTACTGATTAGTAAAATATTCATTATATTCATTTGGTGATTGATAGTAGCAAGAATCCCTCTCAGAGTTTGAGCACCATTAAAACGGGTGAGTTTGTCTGAGGAGAGTGAAATGCCATAATAACAGTTATTTCTTTTTGAAAATCGCCAAGTCGGAAAGAATGTGAGCTCGTCTCCTAAAGTTATTTGGTGGGAAATTTTTGTACGTTGATGAAGAGACACGACTGCATATACACTCTGCTTCTTTCTTTTGTCAAGAGAAACTCATATCAAGAACAATGTATACTGAAAGTCTGGTTAGCTTTTCCTCCTAGGAGAAGATAAGACCTGCGATTAGCTTTGCTCTGTTTCTATCCTGGTAGTTTTGTGAGTCTGGGTGGTTTTGTTTTGTGAATATGTGTCGTCGGAGTGGATTGGGAAAGGTTTGTAGATCTTAAGGAGGTATCCCCTTGTCCTACGATGTTACATTTTGTCGAAAAGAGGAGTTTTCATTAGCTTAATTAGTCGTGGATCAATAGATGGGTTAGACTCCTGCAGTGCATACCTAGGTTAGACTCCTGCATGCATAGACTCATTAACTATGATTTGCACCAGAAGCTTGACATCATACCACGAATTAAATTTCCTTTTGAACTTAAATTGGTAGCTCGACATGTTTCTGCGAGTATATTAGTTAAGAGCCCTCGGAAATCGCTAGATGTTTATTGTAGACTCATATCTTGATAGCTTTTGGAAAAACTGTCATCTTGTACGATGTAGAAAGAACTCACAGCTTGAGCTTTTGTGAAAGACTATCGTCTAACAAGTAGTTTGCTGATCTTAATTCGAAGATATGGAGCAGAGCTTGTAATTCAGATTGCTGAAATATATAACAAACATCTTGATTCCATGGAGGAGACCTTACTTCAAGCCATCAGGGACATGTTTAGCTATACAGGTCCAACCAACATTACCGTTGCTCCCGTCATGCTTCTCTACACAATGGTCAAAAATGTCCGGCGGAGATTAATTTCCGAGATAGGAAGGCAAGATATTGACCCAAGACTCCGACTTGCGTACGCTCTCATCTCTGTTGCTCTCGGATGTGTCGCGTGCAGTCTGTTGATATACATTTTGCTTGGTGACATGCCTTGGCTGATTCTTGTTCCTACGTCCTGATGTTGATAATCCTATTCAAATTCGAACTTGAGGATTAATTAGAGAATGGTGACAGTTTTCGGTTTTCCTAATGTTGTTGTGTGCTCTTTGCAAAGTTGGTTTTGATGTACGTCTTGCCAATGTTGGCTCATATATGAACCTCGTGTTGTACTATTATTATCTTAAACACTTTTTACATCACAATGCAGAATATATGATGATGATGGTGATGATGATGAAGACGATGGTACTACTTAGTTAAGATCTTGATGCAATTGAATGAAATCGAGGAGACATGGATTTTTTTTCTTTGGCAAGAGAGAAACAGGGAAATTGATTCAAAGAATTCGAGAAAGAATAATATTATCCTTATTCACTAATCTTTCTATACACGAATTACGATTTTGATCTAGTTCACAAATCGATCCTCATATCCCAACATCATCAATATTCTAAACATTATCTTGATATGTACTTCAACTCACAAATGAAAACTACTCATCAATATATATGTTAACACTTATTCATTTTAATGGGATATTGGATGGAATCCCAATAGAGTGTAGATTTGGGTCAGGATACCAATTTGGGAATTTTGTGGGGCAAAAATTAATTTGGGTAAATATGTCATGGCTAAGAATTTCGAATTTTTAATTGTATCTTACTTTCTATTAGGAAGCTCTATTTTATTTTTGCGGATTACTTTTTCACTTTAAAAGTTGTATATTTTAAATTTTTGCTTGATTAATTTTATTAGGGAAAATTCCAATTAACGACCCCAAGTGGGGTCAAATTCTCAAAAAGGGGTCCAAAGTGAATATTGTGTCAAATAAAGGCCTGAAGTGCTCAATCAGTCTCAAATAAGGACTCGAAGTGCCCAAAATATCTCAAATAAGGACCTGGGTCCCCGGCCGGCCAAAATACCTGCCGGCGGCGAGAGAAGTTACTGTTCTGGCACCAGAACAGTAACTTTTAAATTTTTTTTATTATTTTCTTTCTTTTTTCCTTTTCTGTTTTTGTTCTTTTCCTTTTCCTTTTTTTTATTTTTTTATTTTCTTCCTCCGCCGGCCATAGCCGGGGCCGGCGGAGGTCGCCGGCCTCAGGCGAGGCCGCCCTCGCCGGCGTCGGGCGAGGGCCGCCCTCGCTTGGGTGGGCGAGGTCGCCCTCGCACAGGCGGGGCGAAGCCGCCTCGCCGCGCGTCGGGCGAGTCGGCCTCGCCCGATTGCGAGGCGAGGTCGAGCCTCGCCCGGTCTGGCGAGGGCTCGTCCTCGCCGGCCAGCGGCGAGGCTCGACCTAGCCGGCCTCGAGGCGAGGCCGCCCTCGCCGGCGTCAGGCGAGGCCGGCCTCGCCCGGTTGCGGGCGAGGTCGAGCCTCGCCGGTGTCGGGCGAGCCGGCCTCGCCCGGTTGCGAGTGAGGCCGCCCTCGCCGGCGTCGAGCGAGGTCGGCCTCGCCGGTTGCGGCCGAGGTCGAGCCTCGCCGATCCGCGAGGGCTCGGCCTCGCCGGCCGGGCGAGGCTCGACCTCGCCGGCCGCCGGGCGAGGCTCGACCTCGCCGCCTCGCGCTGCGGGCGAGGTCGAGCCTCGCCGGCGTCGGGCGAGGTCGAGCCTCGCCGATCCGGCGAGGCTCGACCTCGCCCGCAACCGGCAAGGCCGGCCTCGCCCGACAACGGCGAGGCTCGACCTCGCCCGCATCGGCGAGGCCGGCCTCGCCCGGCGCCGGCGAGGCTCGACCTCGCTCACCGGGCGAGGCCGGCCTCGTCCGACGCCGGCGAGGCTCGACCTCGCCTCGCAACTAGCGAGGCCGGCCTCGCCCGACGCCGGCGAGGCCGGCGAGGTCGAGCTCGCCGGCCGGCGAGGCAAGCCTCGCCCGGGCGGCGAGGCCGGCTCGCCCGCCCAGGCGAGGCGGCCCTCGCCCGACGCCGGCGAGGCGGGCCTCGCCTGAGCCGGCGACCTCCGCCGGCCCCGGCTATGGCCGGCGGAGGAAGAAAATTTAAAAAAAAAAAAAAAGGAAAAGAACAAAAACAGAAAAGGAAAAAAGAAAGAAAATAATAAAAAATTTAAAAAGTTACTGTTCCGGCGACGAAACAGTAACTTCTCTCGCCGCCAGCAGGTATTTTGGCCGACCGGGGACCCAGGTCCTTATTTGAGACATTTTGGGCACTTCAGGTCCTTATTTGAGACTGATTGAGCACTTCAGGCCTTTATTTGACACAATATTCACTTTGGACCCCTTTTTGAGAATTTGACCCCACTTGGGGTCCTTAATTGAAATTTTCCCATTTTATTATGATATTTAAGCGAAGCAAGCTTATCGGTTTCTAAATTGTGCAATGTAACTAGATAATAGTTATAAATATTTTTATTTTGGTTTTATTTCGATGTTCTATTATAATTATATCTTTTTAATTGTTCTTTAACTAATTTTATGGTAAAAGTTAGATTAAATTAATTTTAAATGAATTTAAAGCATGTTATGAGATAGTTTATATTTAAAATTGGGAGTAACTAATCCAGGATCGAGTTGCACTATTTAACTCCGATTATATTTAGTTTGATGTCGTCAATTGATCTCCAACTGCGAATGCTCTCCTGATATTTAATCACCGGGCTTAGGTGATATGGAAGCAGCCTCACCTTAAATCCTGTAATGTGGAAGATGCATAGTTTGAATTGGCTCTACATTGATTTTCTTTGGCCAACTGCTCAAAAAAGAACTTACTAGGGCTTCACAAAAAGGATAAAAATATAAGGCACATATTATTGATAAGAGTTAATATCACGAAAAATCTCAAATTTATACACCTGTGACAAATTTACTACAAACTAGTTTTTTGACCACCAAAAACCTCAAATTGGTACACTTGTGATAAATTTACCCTCCGTTAGTTTTCATTAAATTTTACCGTCAAATTGCTGAGTTTGATGATATGTAATAGTTGACGGGTGTATCAGTTTGGGGTTTTACCCCCCTTTGTTTCTCACAGGTTAACCAGTTTTGGATTTTTGTAGTATTAATCCAATTTAACGGATGGTAAATTTGTCACAGATGTACCAGTTTGGGGTCTTTGGTGGTCAAAAAATTAGTTTTGGGGTAAATTTATTACAGATGACCAGTTTTGGATTTTTGGTAGTTAAAAAATTAGTTTGTGGTAAATTTATCACATATATACCAATTTGAAATTTTTCGTGATATTAACTCTTATCAATAATATGTACCTTATATTTTCGTCCTTTTTGTGAAGCCGTACTAACTTCTTTTTTGAGCAGCTGGCCAAAGAAAATGAATGTAGAGCCAATTCAAACTATATGCATCTTCCACATTACAGGATTTAAGGTGAGGCTGCTTCCATATCACCTAAGACGGACATCCAATTTCTAGGTCTCGTTCCACTCAACCAAATGGGAATCACCCTCTTTACAGGTTCCACATGAAAACAGCCTGCAAGATGGACATCCAACTTCCATACCTTGTATGATCAACTAAAGCAGTAAGCATTAAGAGAGAACTAAGATTATGACTAATGCATGTTCATCTATCACTTCTGACATGCAACAAAAAAAAGTTACTACTTTATTCGAAAAAAGCAACATGATCACTGTGAATGCAAGTGCTTGCAAGCCAGATATACCAATGCTTCTGGTGTCAGCATATTGCCTCAATAGAAGACCAATACAATAGAATACTAAGTGTTTGAACAGCAGCTACTAGGTCGAGCTTGGCTGTAAGAGACCAAAAGCAAGCAATAAGATCCCCCATCGAACAGCTAAGGGATTAATGTAGAAACGAAATCCAAGGACTAGGTTGAGAAAACTTCTTCTATGGGTTTCATCCAGTTTCAGAGACAGAGAGAAACAATGTACTGGCATGGCATTTCCCCACGAACCAAAAGTGTTTCAAAAATGCGTTCCTGTCTTTCATGAAGAAACAGATAGCCAACAAGCGTTTCTGAGGCAACATGCTACCTTGTTCCATCCGCACTATAAGCCATCATGGTGCACCATCGACCGGGAGCATCATAGTCCACTCTAGATCCCAGGCAATCATACAGCCAAGCTTTTATCTTACCATCAATGGCAGTGGAGAAAATAAGCTGCAATAATGAAAAAGAGAGTTATATAGTCGACTCTGGGAAACTGCTATCAAAATAAATTTACCAGCTGCACATCTAATTCGGAAAAACTGGTAATACAGTCTGCTTGAAATGATAGAGTATAAGTCAAGAAAGTAGAAAGCGGCAAACTGCTCTCAAAGCAGATGAACCTGAATATTTTCCTTGTAATATGGAATACACTGGAGCTTCATCGGAGCAGGGGTGGCCTTAACGTGCTTTGTCGGCGACGGCGGGGAACAGCCGCTTGACGAACGCCAGAGCAGCAAGCAAGCGAGCTAGCGTCGGATCACGAGAGAGGGAGACCTTTGCTTCGTCGGAGCAGCGGTGGCCTTAATGTGCTTCGTTGGCGAGGGCGGAGGAACGAGAGCTTGACGAACGCCGGAGCTGAGAGCGAAGACGAGGGAGACCTTTGTTTTGTCGGAGCAGGGGGTGGCCTTAATGTGCTTCGTTGGCGACGGCGGGGGACGGCCACTTGACGAACGCCGGAGCAGCAAGGAACGGCGGACCAGCGAAATCTCAGCGCTAAAAATTCAAAATTTGTGTGCAGGGCAGAGAGAGCGGGAGACGCCTGTTTACTGGATTTAAGCCGTACTAACTTCTTGATATAGCACCCTCGGTCTCGTTCCACTCAACCAAATGGGAATCACTCTCTTTACTGGTTCCACATGAAAACAGCCTGCAAGATGGACATCCAACTTCCATACCTTGTATGATCAACTAAAGCAATAAGCATTAAGAGAGAACTAACTTCTTGATAGCACATATAATTCGGAAATTAGTTAGTACTTTGAGATTTTTCATGATATTAACCTTATTGTTAAATTTCTTAAACAAACGTGAAAAAGCTCACGCTTATATCATGAGAAAAGTAAAAAATGATGCTATTAGATCAATTATATAATGAATGGCAAAAGCTTTTATATAAAGATACAACTAATTTGATTACATACGTTATACATACATTATCTACAATAATCAAATTTTGTCGTTATTTCATGCTATCTAATGACAAATAATCGTAACTTATGCAAAAAAAGGATAATTAACGTGTTATATCATTAATCTTAGCGGCCACCTCATAAAAATCTGGAAAAATTTCAAATAATGGCATGTAGTGCCCTCATTTTCTTAAATAAGGGCCTGAAGTGGATCTTGTTTCAATTAAGGGCCTGAAGTGGCCATATCTGTTTCAAAGAAGGACTTGACCTCATCAACTTGATCAAGGGCATTTTCGTTTTTATTTTATTTTTTTTCCTTTTTTCTTTTCTTTTTTCCCATTTCTGTTTTACCAAATCTTTTTTTTCTCCGTCGCCGGCCGGCCTCTGGTGAGGGTCGCCTTGCTCACGGCTGGCGATGGCAAGGGCGGCCCTCACCAGATCGGGCGAGGGCGACCATTGTCCAGGCGAGGCCGGCCCTTGCCCGTGGCCGTCGAGGGCGGCCTCGCATTTGTGATGTTGTCATATGCATGCAGGTATTAAGAAAACATACTGGATTACTTGCAATGTTGACCCCAACATACGACAATTATCTCTGGATAGGAGAAGATACCCAAGCAATTTTGTAGCAAGGCCTCGTGATCTAAACAGATGGCTTGCAAATTTTCAGTCATCCCTTCAGGAAATTACTATCATTGCAACGGAACGCAACTCTGATCCTTCTGATGCTGCAAGTGAATTTTCAATCGTCCCTTCAGGAAACAAGTACCGAAATCCCAGGCCTAGCCTTTTGTGGATTTGGGCTTGGCTTCTATGGATCCGGGCCCAACCTCTGTGGATGCCCGCCTTTGTTAACACAAGCCCGAGCATCAAGGACCGGGCACGGCATCGGGGTCCTAGGCCCGGCCTCGATGGACCCGGGTTAGTGTCGATGGACCCAACCCTGGCCCGCTGCTAAGGACCCAAAACAGGCATTGAGGTTTCCGTGCCCAAGTCTCTAGCTTGATATTTAGTCATACTTTAGAAAATAGTTTTTTGAGTTTTTAAAGAGAAAATCATTTTCTTGAATTTAAGCATATTGACTTGGACAAAAATATTCCGTTAACTCATTTTCCTAAACAATCCAAATACCCAAAAATGTTATCTTAGAAAAAAATATTCCACGAAACAAACAGAACTTAATTCCAATAGGCATAGAAGAGAGGACGAAGATCCTTAACCTCAAACGGTGTTTTCATTGGCATCTCAATCAATTTTTAACAATGATACATGTAAACAAGGCATGTATCAGCGGTTGAGATATATTGAGACACTTATGAATTTTGAAAGCATCTCGTGGAATAAAGAATCCACGTCCAAATGTGATGTCGGCATTTCTCTCTTTTCGAAATGAGATTTAAAAAAAAAATCCACGTTCAAAAGGGCTAAAGAAACCCCGGAAGCTTGAAACCTCGGATCTTTTGATCGAACGAATGGATCAACGAAGGAATGAAACGAGAGAGAGCGAGAGAGGGGTTTTTCTTTATATGAGAATAGGCTTGAAGTTGAAGGTGGTACCACGTGTCCGAGGTTGAGTGGCATGCCAGCTTAGCAGTGCGAGAGGGGAGCTCGGAGGACGGGTGATGTAAATGCTTACGTCAGCTAACCTGGCCATTTCTCCAAGTCGGCTTAGCTTGCTGCATCATTGAGTGACTGTGATGTGGTCTAGTGCCCTGTTTTTCTCTGCTCTTCCTATATAATCCTTGTGTAAGCTCTTGCAGATGTTGCGTGCTAAGCCCCTCGTTAAAAAGATTTTACGTTGTAGATTTCGCCGCGATGAATAAATCAAATCACAATACAACGTAATGTTATTTCTACGAACATTGGCCAAATATCAGAATGATTTATATTTATTACTTTTGGATTGCTACACATTTGTATTTGAGGAGTTCCATGGGTTTCAATTTACAGCAAGCATATGTTATAGTATAAAAAGGCTTTGATTGAAAGTTTCTCCGTAATGGATTTACTAATTTTGATCCGGATCATTTACTAATTTTATTTTTATATTTAACTCTCTCTACACATTTAAATGTTTTCTTCACACACGCGCGTGTACTCTTTTTACTCGAGGGGAATAAAGCAATTTTTTTACATGGATTTAAAAACCTAAATCACAATCAGTTTCATTCATCATTTTAGTATCGTGTGATGCAATAAAATACATTGAATGCACACATGACCATCGTCGTTGTTCGGCCTTGTGACATTACGAGTGATTTATGAATGAAATTATCAGGTAATTTTGGTAAACTAGTCTCAAAAGCACAATGATAGTGATCAAAACGGAGCTTTGTTAATCTGGTTAGCTATCTTATTGGTTGGACGAGTAACGAATCAAGCTTGTACCTGTCCAGCTTGTTGTATGTGCGTAATTTAATTGAACAAATTATTAGAACTTGTGAGCTATCCAATTAGCTATTTTAGTTTGAATTTTGTTGCGTGGAGATTGCTGATTTTGTAATATAAGGAACGAGCTATAAACTATATCAAACTGACAAAGCGTGTATCCGAAACAAAAGAATAGTGAATGAGAGTATGCGATTCTTTTTTATATACTCTCATTTCCCCTGTTTCTCTCTGGCCCAAAGGAAAAATTTGCCCTGTTTCTCCAATTTCACCAATTCTTAGTTCTGTTTACTGGTAACGCAATTCCATGAGCTTTATTTTCCAATGCAACTGGATCAAATGGGAAGTAATGGACCTAAATGCACTTAGGACTTAAACTAAAACTGGCACTCTAGCAAAAGATTTAAAACTGCCTTGCCGGGAAGGGGCTGGTGGGAACTTACCGAGATATGCTTAAACTAGCTCAGAACACGCTTAACTGCAGAGGAATTTGCACCAGAAAGAATTGTAATCGTCATCATAATTTATTCTGCTATGTTGTGTAAAAGGTGTTCAAGGTAAATAATACAACATGAGGTTCATATCCGACCCAGCATTGGAAGGTTACTGAGCAAATCAAATTCATATAAAGAACACGTCACCACATCATAAAATCTGTAGACTGTCGTCCCAATTATTCCTTCAATTCGCGGTGAACACAAATGGGCCTACCAACATTAAAACACAAACAACAAAGATAGGCAAAGGCAAGTCGCCAAGCAGGACACACAATAGGAGACCGCACTCGACACATCCAAGAAAAACAGCCATCACAGCAAAAGCAAGTCGAAAACTTGGGTCAAGATCTGGCCTTCCCATCTCGAAGATTAATTTTTGCCGAATGATTTTGATCGCTTCACAGATAAGCATAATGCCTGGTGCATTGAAAATGTCGGCCGGACCTATAGAACTATGCCTGTCCCCGATGAGCTGACGCAAAGCATTGACGAGGGAATCAAGTCCTCCATTAACTTGAGCTGCATGTTCTAACACATTCCTGGGAATAAAAATCAGCGAATTACTTGTTAGTCAACCGTCTTTCGCAGATCTGGACAAAAAAAAAAACTCAGTTGTTTTAATGGTGTGCATACTTGAGAGGCACACTCACCTTCTTTCCAGCCTCGTGATTTTTAAAAAGACATGGCAGCTATTATGGATTTCACTTTCCTCGGACAAACTCAGTTGTTTTAATGGTGTGCATACTTGAGAGGGATTATTCCTGGTATGAGTCCTACTGTATTCAACTACCGAACGGATATCATGAAAATATATCTATTCGCACAAAAAAAGGGGCCGATGACTTAAAGAAACATTCTTACTTTTTGACCGATTTACACCCACTGAATATACTCAGTATGATCACGAGCCACCATGCTCTGTTCTGAGAGTCGAGTCATTATGAACAGCGAGAATAAAAACCTGGATCAATTAGCAAAATAATAGAAGACAAAATCTGGGTGGTATGACATAGCTACCCTAATCCAGGAAATGCGAGAAACAAGTTATATTGCATCCACAAGATATTCCCCGAAGTACATGCTCTGTTTTGAGTAGAGCCCATTTCTGCTCTTTGAGAGTCAAGTCATTATGAACATCTCAATCAACAAAAGCATAAAAAAGAATAGACGAAAAAATCTGGATGGTACAAATTGGTGTAATGATCTGACTCTCACAATCTAACGCGAGAAACAGGCCATTTTCCACGGGCAATCCACTGACCCAAGTTCAGAGTTCCAGAACCTGTTTTACGTAGAGTGCAGGTTTTGGCATTATTTCACTCGCAGCGGACATGATCAAAGATAGAAACAGGGCAGGATACAAAGATTTTGGCATTATTTCACTCGCAATTCTCCAACTGACATACGGAGACTGGGCTACAGTGGTCAAGATATGTTTGAAATCACCCAAGCTTACCTCCTACCACCGTGATCAGCTGGATTGTTGTTCGCCATTAACCTTCCAACTTTGCCTCGCCAATCTCTTCCTTGCTTGGCTGAAAATGAGAACAGGGTCGGGTTTGTCACCCCAAACTATGAAAGACCACATCGAGTGAGAGTTTCCAATAAATAGGGAGTATGAGGGCTGCCGGATGGCCCCACTTTCAAGCCCCAACTTGGCAGCACTTTCAACTCGGGGCTTACGTCATCCGGTCACTCATCCAAGCGCCAATCCGCCAAAAACTCGGGGCTTACGTCATTGGCGCCAAAAACTCGGGGCAATTGGCGCTTGGATGAGTGACCGGATGACGTAAGCCCCGAGTTTTTGGCGGATGACGTAAGCCCCGAGTTGAAAGTGCTGCCAATCGGGCTTGAGTTGGCGCCCCTGAGTTGAAAGTGCTGCCATCCGGCAGCCCTCATACTCCTTAGCAGCAGTCCTCATACTCCGATTGACTATTTGCTTTGTCGTCGTTCTTCCGATTGACTATTTTTAATATAAAAAGCTCACATAAACCTACGATGGAGATGGAGTAACTATTTTATGTAAGGATCATTTCTTTCGAGGAAAATTAATGATTTAAAAAATATATTTTTAAAACTGATCGTTTGTATCGTTTATAAAAATAAATGAACGAAAATATTTAGATATAAGTTGCTGTCGATAATGAAAATATTTTTCACTTATTAATTATTTAAATGATTATTTTTTGAAAAATATTTTCTAAATTACTCATTTTCCGCGAAACAAACAGAGCCTAAGTATGAAAAACCCACTCCATGGATCTCCAGCGTGTAGTTTTTCATATTTAAGCCATGGACCAAGGGAAAATTACACTTCGGATGCTACTCTATTATATAGAAGTGAGGTTGTGGAATATGAATTACGTTGTTCTGATTTTCCTGGTAAAATAAAAGAAAATCGGACTCTTAATTATTCAGAATATAATCAAATCATATCTACTGACCTCCCTCACAGTATTGTCATCGTAGGTCCGTAGTAGAGTTTAACCTTGGAGGTCCATGGTGTCAGTATTCTAATCTGGTTGCCCATGGTGTATTTTTGTCTTTTTTCCTTTTTTTGCTTAGTTATTTTCTATTCTCGTAAAAATTTTAGTTTTTTTTTTCTTGTTATTTGACCTTTGACCCCACCAAAAAAAATTATTTCTACTATCCTTGACCCATGAGAACTCATATTATGTTTTGACAAAATTCGTCACAATTTTAATTCATTTTTTATAACTCAAAATAATAAAATAGAACTGATTATATCCTAATCAATTAACGTCATTATATTAATCCACCCGCTGTTAAAACTGGCTGTCCCTACCTACAATGCACATGTAGGTTATACTTCTGCAACGATGCACATACTCATTAGCCATGATTTACCCAAGAAGCATGGTTTTATACCATGCGTCAAATTTCTCTTTGAAACTAAACTTGCAGTTCTGGTTGTGTTCATGTGAGTATATGTATGGAGATATAAGAAAAATGCACGATGTTCAATTTAGACTCGTCTCTTGATAACTTTATTTATTAGAAAAACCATTGTCTTTTATGATGCTTAAAGAGTTCAAATCCTTACATTTCATATTTCACGTGCGAGGCCCGATTTACGTACGAGGAAAGTATTAAGATGTATTTCGTGTTGGAAGTACTTGAGAAATGTGCTTGATACACGAGCAAGTAGTTTATTGATTTTAATTCCTAGGTACGAAGCAGGCTCGAAGCCCAAATTGCTTGAGTGTAACCAGCATCTTGATTCCATGGAGGAATCCTTGCTATGAGCCATCAGGTACATTTACCCATACTGGTCCAGCCAACATTGCCGAAGGACCCATCAAGCTTATGTACACTGTGGTCAAAATCGCCCTGCAAAAATTAATCTGCGAGATGGGAAGACGAGATTTGGACCTGGGGCTCGGACTTTTTGATGGGGTCGGTTCTTTTTTGAATGATGTTTAGTGAGATTTATTTAAATATATACTTATAGTTTATCACATCTCTGTAATTCAAATTTAACAAAGTTGTCTTAGTATCCTCAGTATTACCTTTTCTTCCTTTAGCTATTCTCTGGAATTGAAATAGACAACTAGTCACGTGACTTGCGATTTTACTATTAATTAGACAACTAATGTTTTATATCGGATTAAAAATGAAAAATGATCTTTGAGAAAAAGAGAACAATAATGTATTGAAAATTTACCGGGGAAATATTACTGAATGATCCCTATACTATTACCACTATTCAATTTTGGTCATCATATATTATATTGTGACTAATTGGGTCCATAAACTAATCTCCAATTATCCTTTTAGGAAAAGTTGTATATCTTTCCAGATATCGAAGGATTATGTTGCCTAAGCGTCAGAGATATACAAGCGGCATTAACGTTTAAAGACAACATAATTATTCAAAAGAAATCACAAAATGGTCCCTGTGTTATTGTCAATGCTAAATTTTGGTCCTCGTACCTTGATCTTACGATAATTTAATCCTTATCTTTTTATCCTAATTCCAAATATTTTCTTCCAAATGTAGACAGAAATTGCTAAGTAAGTGTCAAATCAATACGTTAGTTCACACATCAAAAACGATTCACGTGCAAAGAAACTTGCACGTGTGATTCTAGTTAGGCTTCCCTTCTAAAAATGTTGCTTTTGCTCACTGCCTAGCGCATTTGTTATGAATGTTGCCCATGTATTGTGGAATAACCATCTTATAAAGGACAATATAGCCTAGAATTGTAACACTTCCGTACCTTAAACGGACCATATTGGCGAAAGTAGTACTCAAGAGACAATCATTTAGAGACTTGCTGTTAGGTCATCAATTCTAAAGACATTAAAACAGCCTCATCTTGTCAAGGTTTCCAAAGAGCAAGCCACGTTGCCATTTTTCATTGGTTATCTGACCACCCCATTAATGTACATTAAAAGATGGGTTAATACTAGAAAAAACCTAAACTAATATATTTGTGATAAATATATCACAAATTAATTTTTTTACTATCAATAATTCAAAGTGGTATACCTGTGATAAATTTATTTTTCGTTAATTTTCGTTAAATTTTATTGTTAAATTGCTAAGTTGGATGACATATGACAGTCGATGAGTGTATTAGTTTAGGTTTTTATCCCTCTATTTGTTACAAGTTTACTAGTTTGTGGTTTTTCGTGGTATTAATCTAATTTAACGAAGGAAAAATTTGTCACAAGTGTACCAGCTTGGGATTTTTAGTGATCAAAAATTAATTTAGAGTAAATTTATCACAAGTGTATCAGTCTGAGATTTTTCGTAATATTAACCATTAAAAGAACACTAAACATAGCACGATCAAATTGTGGGGCCAACGTCTGTAGGGGGCGCCAGATTCGAATCTCCTGGCTCCTCCAAAATTCTTTTAATTATCTATTGACTTTTCTAATCTTGTGTTTGTTTATGTTTGTTCAATGACATGAGTAATTTGATATATAAATGTATATATCCCTAGATATAATTATACTATTACATTTTGCACATGTACTTAGTATTTGCCAATAATTCTATACTTGAAAAAGAATTCGTTATACTATGACACTGCTGATTTGTCTTTCGTTAATTGATGCTCCATTTAGCCTTTGATATATAGTAAAATAGTGGTAAAGAATCATCAAATTCCTCATTTGGCCCGACACCTCATGCTAAATGGTATTTATTTCTCTTTTTTGTTCTTCTATCGAAGTTATTTTCATTTATCAATTATAACAAAAACATGTACCTTTTTATTTATTTTTGTTGATTAATCTTTGGAGAGGAGGAAAAATCAACAAGATAAACAAAGATCTGTAGGTTGTTTTATTTTATAATTTTGGAGTTACTTTTACCTTTTATGAAAATCTAGGGTGCGCTGATGAGTGATGCTTAGTTTAGATGCTATGTTGCTTTAGGTGTTGGCTCGCTTTGCTCTATGCAATGCCCAATTGAGAAATTTGAGATATGATCCTCTAAAAATCTTACTTATTAACATTGAATTTAAATCTAACCATATTAATTTTATATTTATATCTAACTCTCTCCACACATTAATTTTTTTCCACGTGAAGGCACGTACTCTTTTCATAGTATGGAAAAAAAAAGCAACCTTTTATGCATGGATTTAAGAACCTAAATCTCAATCGGTTTGATTTGTCTGCCATTGTCGTGCGATGTGGTAATATACATAACAAGCACACATGGCTGTTGTTGTTTGGCCACGCACTAGGCATGAGTACCTTGTGACATTTCTAAGTAATGTATGAACAGAATTACCTAAGTAATTTTGGTAAACCAGTCTCAAAAGCGCGATAGTGTCAAAATCAAAATCAGAGCTTTGCTGGTTAGTTATCTTATTGAATTTGTTTTCTATTCAGCTTCCTCGGATTAGCTCCATGCTCCATTCCAATCCTAGAAAATTAAAATCAGCTATAAATTATAGCATAACGAGAGGTCGACGGTGCATTTCTTTTGTCACTAGCGACGGACCCACCCACAGCCGCAAATTAATTTGTGAAATACCGGATGACTTGCTCATTAAGTTTTGAAAAATCAAAAAAAGCGAGTGGCAATTTGGAGGAAGAAAAGTTTATTATTATATGGGTGGACCATCTCGAGTCCAACAACGATGCGCGTTAAATTTTTATTTCGCAAAAAAATTAATCTTTTTATTAACACATGCATAAATACTTTTAACTCCCATCACTCTCAAAGGATGTACAGAAATCATGATGTTTACATTATACGTTAGGTATCACTCTAGCTACATAGTAATATTTAGAGCTTGCTTACGGTGATTTTTACTTTTTCTTTTTCGCACATCTTGATGGGCATCTGTTTTGACTTTTTGTTAATCTTAAATGCCGAAAATTTTCATAATAGATGAACATTGACACAAATATTCATATATAATTTTTTTCCTAACCTTTTGAAATTTGAATAATGTTTTAGATTTAACAGGAAAGTACAAAAGCTACTTTTAACTTCTGATTAGTCTAGATAAACAACCAGGGTTCAGATTAATATATTTCTTGATTAATATAATTTCAATTAAATATAAAGTGCATCACGAAATCAAAGAGAAGATCAATCACCATTCACCGGTAAATGTTACTTTCGACAGCTTGACAAAAGACCCGATTGTGTTGGTTTTTCCGAAATCTATTACATGGATGGATGATTCAAATTATTAAGAAATCTCAGTACAAGATGGTCACATAATCAAGAAGGATAGTAAACATCGCCATCGTATATCCTACTTTGGTTGATAATACAACATGTGGCTCGTGTTCGGGCATGCAATCAAAGCAAGCCACAAAGCACATAACCACATCAGTTGGAAACTATCTCCGTTCGCTAATTCATCTTTCAACTCGCGATGAACATGAATGGAATTACCAAACATCAGGACACAGGGAAACGGTATGGTGGGACCGATATGTGCTTTACGTGGTGCACTAATACAATAATAGCCGGGCAATGTTGACCAGGCTCATATTGTCCTTGATGGCTTGAAACAAGGACTTCCTCCATGGAATAAAGAAGCTGGCTATACATTGCAGCAATTTGAGCTCCATGCTCTGCTCCTATTTCTGAAATTATATTCGGCAAGATACTTGTTAGACAACCCTGTTTCAGGAAAACTGAAACAATAAGTATCGCCTTCGGACATTTGTACTTAATATTTTTCGATTAACAAATAGATTTAAAAAAAAAAGTCCATGTACAGCATCCTAATAGAATTTGGACAATTCAAATCAGCAAAGGCCATGGCTTACTTTCCTTTTCCATTTACCTTGATCCACTCCAGGAGCTAGGCTTTCGCAATCATCGGTTATTTTGACCACTTCGGCCGGGTTTTATTTGATTGGCTCAAATTCGAAACATATTTTAATACAAAGTACATATTGTTTATTAACAAAACACCATTCAGGGAATCGAAAACAAACATTGGACATACTCGGAGATGGGAGTTGTTCTTTTTCGAGCAAGGAATTCAAAACTACGTGAATCTACTCGCAGTCCCCCAACTTATCGAAGGAGGCTGGGCTACAGCTGTGAAGAGAAGTCGTGGTTCACAGTCGATGCATACCTCCGAGCTCCGACCACCGTGACCGGCTGGTATTGCTGTTCGCCAATTAATCTCCGAGCTTTGACTGATTACTCTCTTCCTTCCTCGCTGAAATAGGCCTTGCTCCGGGGCTGCGGGTTGAGGGAGAGAGAACTCTCTCTCTGTCTTCTTTTGCAGGATTTGTGATACGTAGCTAATGACTGGATGCATCATTGGAGGACAATAACCCGTATATGCATTCTAGGGTGGGACCCATATGTGCTTTGTATGGTGGAAATGTGTTAGCCTGATTTCACGGTGGGTGCGCTAATATAATAATTGATCATTGATCGGGATACAATTGATTCTATTTTATTATTTTCAATTATAAAAAAAGAACGAACGAAATTGTGACGAGCGTGTCAAATCCTAAGCGTGATTCAAATGCAAGACCCAAAAATACAAAATACAATACGAGTTATCAAGTTCAAGGATCGTAAGTATAAATTTTTGGTGGGGTCAAGTGTCAAATAACAAGAAAAACACACTACAATTTCTTAGAAGAATACACAACAACTAAGCAAAAAAAGGGAAGCCACGCCACTGACCATACTGAGGCACTTACAGGAGTGTAATCACCTCTTGATTCAATGAAGACTCGTCTTTGTCTTATCATTTCTGAGGCTGAAATGCTACTGAGACTTTCGAATAATAAATCACAATTAACATGAATTTCTCTTAATGCATGTGATGGAGTATTTGCACCCCGTAAGACTCAATTAATTTCATGAAAGATGAATGATTTAAATATTTTTCTCAAAATGATTGTTTGTATCGCTTACAAAAAATGAATGTATAAAAAATATTTTTATCATCTATGAAAATTTTTAAATATAAATTAATATCGATAATGAAATTTTTTTATTGATTAATTATTTCAAGGAATACAAGCGATTTTTTTCTATTTCAAAATAATTTATCTTTCACGAAACAACGGAGCCTAAATCTTGGCATTTTTTGTAACTTCAAGATTTTCAAAAAGATTGGACACCAAGGGTGCGCATGGCAAAATTTCTGTGCCCGGAAACTGATTTGGCTCAGAAATGATTTTTTTTATTCTATGCCAGGGAACAATTTTTATGCATTTGAAGACGTTTGGTAATTGCCCAAAATTTCTATTCTTGGAATAAAAAAAAACAGAAATGCGTTTGGTAACTACACAAAATTTCTTTTTATTAATAATATTTCGAATTTTTTAATATTTCTTTCTTTTTTTCCTTTTTTTTTTCCTTTCTTCTCCTTCCTTTCCTTGGCCATGGCCGGCGAGGGCGTCGCGGCCATGGCCGGCGAGGGCGTCGCGGCCCTCGCCGCCGTCCTTGCCGCCAGCCTCGCCATCGCGACCCATCTCCCTCACTTGGGTCGCGATGGCGAGGTCGGCCTCGCCATGGCTGGGCGAGGCCTTGCCGTCGCTGCAGCGAGCAGCCTTCGCCCAGGCGGCGAGGGTCGCCCTTGCCGGATCTAGCGAGGGCGGCAGCAAGGGTCTAGCCTTCGCCCCCGCCGGCAAGGGGGAACCTTGCGGTTGCCGGCCACCGGCGAGGGCCGCGACGCCCTCGCCGGCCACAGGCCAATAAGAAGAAGAAGAAGAAAACCAAAAAAAAGAAGAAGGCAAAAAAAAAATTAATTCTCATTTTTGTTCCCAGAATCAAGAAGCTATTTTTTTTTGCTTCTTGATTCTGTTCCAAAACTGATTCTGGGAATAAATTTTTGCAAATTTGTGCCCGGGAACAAAAAGTTTACCAAACGCATTTCTGTTCCAAAACTGATTCTGAAAATAAAAGAACAGAAATTTTCACTATTTGACAACTTGCCAAACGGGCCCTAAATGTAATACCTTTTTTCCTCATACATGTAAGCAATTGTAGGGGTATTTAAACTTATGGAGAGTGATTACTCTTGCCATGAATTTCACCTTAACTGAGTTATCAAATTCTTATCATGAAACTTTTCCAATATGCATACAAAAAGAGGATGAAGATTCTTTATTTCAAACGGTGTTGGCATTTGCATCTTAACCAATTCTCAACTGTTGATGCATGTACGGTTAAGATACATTAAGACACTCCTGACGGGAAAATTATCCAAAAAGTCATAAACTTGTTATACTTTTGTTAATCCAGTCCTATATCTTTTAATTGTGCCAACTTTCTTTTTGGTTGAAATTCAATTTTGTCAATTGAGTCTAAATATTTTGACAATTTGCCAATTGAGTCAATCCGACCAATTTTAACCGGAAATCGCCGACATGGAGGTCGGTAGTGCCACATTGGACAGTTGGCACTGACGTGGATAATTATTTTATAAATTTAAAATAAAATTGAATTATTTATTTTTTCTTTTTCTTTCTTTCTTTTCCTTTTTTTTTTTTCTACCAAGTCCAACGAGGGTCGTCGGCCGACCCTCGTCGACCACAGGTGAGGGCTGGCGACCCTTGTCGGCCACTGGGCGAGGACTTCGTGGCCCTCGCCAGGTCTAGGAGAGGGCCGCGATCCTCGCCTACGACCCTTGTCGGCCTTGAAAGAAAAAATAAAAAAAAATTTAGAAATTTATTTTAAAAATGATTATAAAAATTGTCCACGTTGGCGCCAGTTATGCCACGTGTAGGACGACCGACATCCACGTCGAGGATTTTCGGCTAAAATTGATCGAATGGACTCAATTAGCAAAACGTGAAAATGTTTCGAACTAAATTTGCACAATTGGCACAGATGTAATAGATTTAGGACTTTTTGGATAATTTTCCCCACTCTCGACATGTTAGAGTATTGTGTGAGATAAAGAATTCACGCACAAAAAAAAAAATGTTGACGAGGACCAACAATAAATCTTACTGTTCGATGGATTTTCCCCATTCTTGGGGGTACAGAATGAACAAGACAAGATCAAAGTAGATGGAATTTCTTGTGATTGCCTTTGGCTTCTGACGGTCCCCCTATGACTCTTCACCTCGTGGACAAATAAAGTTGAACAAAGATAGTTGGCTTTTGCTTAACCTCCATATTCTCAGCTAAACAAGAACGATCATATAACTCGGAGCGACTTCCTTCCCCTAAATCTCAATGGTCCAAGCCCATCTCCCGGAAAACCTCTGTTCTCCCACCGATTTTACATATAAAAAAATAAATAATATATATAAAATCTTAGTCGTCGACATCTAATTTGATTCTTTCACAAATTCTCTGAATCGACTCTCCTATTTCTCTCTGGTGGACACTATTTCCCCGGCTAAAATAGCTCCCATCACAGCCTGTACCATGAAAAGACAAGAAAAAAAATGCCCCCAGGCGATGGAGGTGGAACAAGGTTTGATTCATCGCAGCTTCTTCCCTCTTCTCTGCTTCGACCCAATCAAAACCCGAGACGAGAAATTTGGTTTTTCCAACGGATAATAGATTTGAGCTCTATAAAAAGAAAGAAAGATTCATTCAATGGATAAACAGAACTTCAAAAGAAGTGTCGATTTCCGTTATGCTGCTGTTCTATTTTGTTCGTCCAATCTCACTCTCACACAAGATGATTAACTTGACAAGTTAATTGCGTTGCGGATATAATGCAATTTCATCCCAACAAAATCCCTAAGATCTGAGAAAAAAAGGCTCCAAGAAATGCTCTAATTCCCAATTTCCAATCCAAAAGCCTGTGATTTCTTGTGAGAGTTTCGGACTCCAAACCCATGTCTAGCATCGCCTTCTGTGTCATCAAAAAGCCTCTCTGTTGTATTTTCTACTTTCTAGCCTTAGAAATCCTCCCAGAGAGATCGATACTTTATTTTAATGGACTATTAATATGCTTTGTCAAAATACCAACCGGAGTTAAAACTCAGTTTTGGTACGAGGAGACCCAGAAGACCCGCAAGTCCAGATTTTTCTCGTTACTCATTCTCGCCTTCTCTAACCTTTCCTTGGTTTTTCACCGGATATACTTTATTCAAACGGTTGCAGGTTCAACTGCGAACGAAATAAACAAGCTAGATTTTGATAAATTGTGATCTTTGATGTCATTTTACTGTTAAAAAAGATGCCACAAGCGTGAAGGAAAGAATATCGGAAGAGATAAGAATCTGCACAATAGAAGCTGAGATGAGAGGAAGCAGTTTATCGGCGAGAGTGTCCTTCGGTTTCTTCCTTTCCTTTTCATGGGAAAAAGAGGGTAATTTAGTCTACTGATCAGAAGAGATGTGCATCCAGCCAAAATGGCCGTGGAAATAGAGCTGGCCATCTCTGTGGCCAAAGAAAAATAATCCTCTGCTTCTCAAATTTCATTGCATACCCAGGATATTAACTAAGTAGTACAATCGTCTTCATCATCATCACATATCACATATTATGCTTTGTGATGTAAAAGGTGTTCAAGGTAATAAAAATACAAGACGAGATTCAAGTTCAAGCCACACTGGCAGGATACACATCAAAACCAACTTCGTAAAGAGCAAGCCACAACATCAAGAAAACCTAAAGCTGTCGCCATTCTCTAATTAGCCATGAATATAAATGGCATTCGGACACAGAGAACGAAAATCAGCCAAGGCATGTCACCTAGCAGAATGTACATCAGTAGACCGCACTTGACACATCCGAGAGCAATAGCAATGAGAGCGGTCGTAGTCGGAACCTTGAGTCGATATCTTGCCTTCCCATCTTGAGGAATACTAATAGCTGAATGATTTTGAGCACTGTGTAGATACGCATAATGGTTGCACGGGCAGTGTAGGCTAGACGATCTACATACTTGATGGCTTGAATCAGGAGTGCCTCTAGGGAATTAAGATGTTGGATAAATGCAGCAATTCGATCTGCAAGCTCTGCTCCACGTCTTGGAAATAAAATCAGCAAACTACTTGTTAGTGTACAATTTTTTTGAAAAGCTCAAGTTTTGAGCTCTCTCTGCATCACATAAGACGGCAGTCTTTCCAAAAGCTTTCAATAACTACCAATTTAAGTTCAAAAGGAAATTTAATTCGTAGTATGATCTCAAGCTTCTGGTGCAAATCATAGCTAATGAGTCTATGCATTGCAGGAGTCTAACCTCTGTATACACAGCAGGAGGTTAACCCATCTATTGATCCATGGCTAGTTAAGCTAATGAACTCTTCTTTTGTACAAAATGTAACATCAGAGTACTAGGGGATACCTCCTTAACACCTACAAACCTT